TATATATATATATATATATATATATATATATGTATAATGTGCTAATCATTGTGTATTATAAATAGTATTACCCTACGTAACTCAAAAAATTGAAATTCTAAGATGCAGAGGACACTGACATATACAGAAAAAACTGCACTCAATAGAAGAAAAATGAAAAAAGTGAGAAGAAAAACGGTATGTATACATTTTTGAAAATTCCGAAGGGATAAGAGGATGGGTCGGAAAAATTATATACATTAATATGAAATTTATATTTTTTGTTCTATTCATTAAATGTAAAGATTTTTAAATAAATCCTTCACTGAAATGAACGTCATAATTGAGTAGCCATATTTATAAAAAGGCAACCAATTTCAGGAACCAATATTTACATTGGTAATTAAATAAAAGCTGGAACTCATATACGTACATCTTTGACTCCCAACTTTATTTTTATGATAGCAATAACTCTTTGTATGCAAGTCTGAAAATTTTTTATACAAAAGTAAAAGTGCATATTCGAGAATTCAGAATTCTTTGTTTTCCCTCCTCCCTCTTCTTTTACATTCTAGATAAATGATATTGTCAGTTTCAGTACCAGCAACACATCAACTGTAAAAGGAATGAACAAAAAGTACCACCGGCGAATCCGCTAAAATTTTGCTGGAATTTTAATATTAGGCTATTACTAGCGCAAAATGTAAAAACGGCGAAATTGGGATGTTTGGCGATATACCAAATTGTTGATACTATTTGGAATGAAGCCAGAGGTGAAGTCAGAAACTTTTCTGTTTTTTGTTTTATATAGATTTGTTATTATATAAACTAACTCGGACTGACATAAATATATATATTTTGCTCAGGTTATTTTTCCAAACTATATACTCTTGTAGTGAAAGTACTTAGAGGAATAATTTTGGTGCTTTCAGATGAAATTTAAGGTTGTTGAAAAAACAGTATAGCAACTGCTGATGTTAAAACTGTTTGAACTGTGGTTAAGATGGTACAAAAAAAAAAATTGGGAGCCTCTTTTAAAATATAGACAGAGAATTAATAAAGACAATGTAGTGGCCAATAAACCTCATATGGTTGCAACCCAGGATATTACAGGAAGTAAACACCGCAAAAAAAAAAAAAAAAAATCAAGTCTTGTTTGAGTCAATTAATCTATCTTTCCGTTACCGTTGAACAATTTATTCGTTTTCATCTTATAAAGTATCCATCAACTTTCATTGCGTCTGAGATAAAGCGATGAGAATTAGGCATCACTGTGTTATGAGCTAGTAATTGCCGGTTTGTGAAATCTGGCTGTCATTAAAATCAGAATTTACATGAATGAGTATATGTATTATGTTTTTATGACTTTTTAATCGTACTTCCTGTAGTTTTTAACCATCTAGAGTTGAAATAATTCAGAAACATTTCTTAAAAGGTTTTCTATTTTTTTATTGAGTAGGAGCATCTCATATGACACTTACACTTCGTGACTTACTGGTATATGAATATTTTTATCTTGTGAGAAATAAAAAATGATCAAGTTTTCTGTCCGATGCGGTATAACGATTGCTGAAACTGAGGTTGAGAACTTTCGAAGAAAACTGTTTGGTAAATTTTTCTTTATCCCCCTTCATCGTTTTTTACAGTTGTATGTAATTTTTGAGCGATTTTTATATGGTTTTAAACATAGCTTTTCATTTGGCTACCAAAGTAGGTAGCTTTTTTGTGGCAGGTAAGTTTGTACATGAATGTTTTCCGATGCTGATGCTCGATGTGAAAAGTAAGGAGGGAATTCTTTATTACGCTCGCGTATTTAATAATGTAGCTTTCAGTTCTGGGCTTTAATACAATTTTAAAAACCTTTCAAGTTTCTCTTGAACATATTTCTGTGTGGTCCACAAAAGTTTTTTTCAAGGAATTTGTCGGAACTTTTACCAGTTATTTGCCTAAAGATTTTACTTTTTTTTCATTTCAAACCTAAATATTTTCAAAAAGGCTTGAGGTGGTTTAGCAGCCTTCATTGATGTGTCCGATTCACATAACGGTACCCGTTCTTGAATAATATTTTAAAACGACCAGCCTGTGAGGTTTCCATTTTTTATATCTGTATCATTGCGATCGCGAAAGCAATCTTGTATAATTAATATTTTTAATGGCTAAAATTTTTGGTTCTTTTACTTAATTGACTTCAGTGTTTTCACAGAACTTGCTGTGGAATTGTTACTATGGATGAGCTTGAACGGCTATCTCTGGTTTCAAAGGTCTGTGTGGAGCTTGAGAACCATTTTAACTTAGGAGATAAAGATGTAGCCGAATTCATTATTCACCTCGCTACTGAAAACCCCACTTTTGAGAAGTTCAAAAAAGCTCTGGATGATGAGGGTTTGGGTGATCAGGTAAGCTTGGTTGCTTAGAGCAACTTGATTAAAATGTGTTTTCTGGTTTTTAATGTCTTTATTTTTAGTTTGATTATTCTCTGATCGCGAACCTGCTTCGATTAATTCAGCATATGATGCCAAAGAAGGCTAAGACCTTAAAGCCGATGATCATCTCAGATGACAAAGAATTGATTAAAGCTCATCTTCCTGCATTAGCTATGCCAAATACCTCTGCCGATGCTCTCTTAGAGCAGTTGGAGGGCCTAATGCCCAAGTGGAAAGCAGAAAAGGTTTGCTGGCGAGACTTTAAAGTGATGCGGATTCAGTTATTCGGCAGTTTTAAAAGTGCACGGGGGATTTTTGCACTAAAATAAAAGCTAAACCGTGAAACTAAAAAATTTCAGTAAAATTTGGCTTTTGTCCGGAAAAAGTTTGTACCATTTGTCTTTTAAGACAATTTATACACATAATTTTGTAAATTTAAAAAAAAAATTTATGATTTTTCAACCTGAGTCAGAGATTTCTTCATATCTCAATTTTTGGTACTTATAGGGTGAGAATCGCGAGGAAGATAGTGACAGTGATCATAAGTATAATACTGGTGATAGCAGGAGCAATGGCAAGGAAAGCAGTAAGAAAAGAGATAGGAAAAGTAGAAGTAGAGAACGCAGAAGCAGAAGTCGGGATAGACGGAGCAGAAGTCGGGATAGACGGAGCAGAAGTCGGGACAGACGGAGCAGAAGTCGAGGCAGAAGAAGCAAAAGTCGAGAGCGGAGGAGACGAAGCAGAAGTAGAAAACGTCATGGAAGAAGCAAAAGCAGGAGTCATAGTGAGGAACGGCGGAAAAGATATTCGAGTAGAGAATATGACAGACGGAGAAGATCACGATCTACGTGCGATTTCTTTCTTTTATCTTTTTTAGATGGGATAGTTTTTTGTACTTATCGCCTAGTAAGTCATCATGAGCTTTAATCACTGACGGTTTATGCTTGCGACTTTTTGAGTCAGTTTTAGTGATAGGAGAAGATCTTCAAGAAGGACTGAACGTGAAGAAAGAAGTCCTGAAAGGAAGCGAGAGCGATTTGATGAAGATCCTGTCATTGGTAATATATATGATGGTCGCGTTAATAGCATCCAGAGGTTTGGAGCATTCGTTCAGGTTGGTGTTATCGCGATAATGCGATTTCGTCATTTGTCGTTGCTATTTATAGTTTCATCATAGTCGAGCCAACAGTAGGAGAAATGGTTGAGGCGTACTTGTATGTAAAGGAACCAGTGTTAAAATTTGCTTACTGATCTTAATTTTCAGTTGGATGGCTTTCGTAGGAAAGTTGAAGGCCTTGTACACATATCGCAGATACGAAAGGAACGTGTTAATGCTGTATCTGATGTTTTAAATCGAGGAGAGTTTGTTAAAGTCAAGGCTAGTTTTTAATGAAAAATTGTTTATTTATTTTTTCCGAGTGTATTCATTATTTTATTACAGGTTTTGAAGATG